AAGCCCAGGAGGGACAAAGGGGCTGGGCTGGAACGGTACTGAGGGTGCTCGCCAAACACATCCTACTGTGTTTGTGACTGTTTTGATCATGTGAGACAATGGTATTTTTCAGTTTTCTAAGTACCTTTGCCCCAGAATTCTAACTGTTTGGTCAGTTAGCCAAGGGTACCCCAACCAAAAAATCCTCTCATATGGATTCTAAGCTGGATTTACTGCTCAAAAAGGAAATTCACTCCAGCAATGCCCCAATCTTCAGCTTAATAAGAAATGTTATGTTTTCTTGAACATTATTGAACAAAATAGATATGGAACTGCCCACATTTCCATTTCTAGTTAAATATTATATAAAACTGAATCCCAATTGACACTATTTGCAGGCAGTTAACTAACCATCATTAGTTGGGAAGGGGTCAGAGATATACAAGTAACTACTCCAAAGTAATTTTCATTTGCTCTTTTCTCTATTTGTCCTCAGGTTCAATGTTTGGCTATCTATGGTCAATAGAGAAAAGCAAGTGCTACCTCTCTAGAGAATTTATAGACAGTTTGAACTAAACAATACTTCCTTTGTTCATAAAACAGTCATTCTGATACTGAGAAAATGAGTGACATTGGAGGAAATGAGCAGTTTCGTGTGGTAATGTTCTACTTAACAATTATACTGTGAACACTGGAAATAAGGTGGGGACACAGGACTGTCCATATAAAATGGCCCATACTGATAGTTAACAATTAGAATCTAAACGCTGGAAATAAGGTGGGGACACAGGACTGTCCATATAAAATGGCCCATGCTGATAAAGGAATCTTTTTCTTTGTTGACATCCACCACAGTATCTCAGAGGAACCAAAACCCAAAACCAAATCTACTGCCGTCGAATCGATTTTGACTCAGAGCGACCCTGCAGGACAGAGTAGAACTGCCCCGTAGGGTTTCCAAGGCTGCAATCTTTACAGAAGCAGACTGCTGCATCTTTCTGCCACCTCTCAGAGGAACAGGTAATAGTAATTCTTTCTCAGATTTTTGGTCTCTTAAATGAGCTGCATCTTCTAGAGCTGTGGATACTTGCTGTTTCATTCCTTAACCGATCTTGGTTCATATGTCAATAAAATTTTGCTGAAGTATATATTTCCGGGGTTTCAGACTGGATTCCAGGCAGGGCTTCACAGGCCTGTGACCTGAGCAGTCCCACAGGGCCCCGTGCTCAGAAGGAGCCCCTACATGCTTTAATGCTCTGCTGCTGCCATCTTGAAATTCTTAGCAGTCTTATCTTGGAGCTTGTGTTTTGCATGTGCAGTGTGATGGGACAATGGAGTGTGTACATGTGCAGAGACAGCACAATGCCTGGTCTGCAGTTCCTTACCTACATCTCCACTCACATGTGGTTTAACTTGACAGGACTCATAACCTGTGGGAGTAGAGGCCACTCTCTCCATCCCAAACAGAGCTTGCTTTGAACGCACAAAGACGGCAGTGGTGCTCTAAGAAACACCACAAAGGAATCCTATCATAACCTTTCTTACTTGTGTTACTTCCCTATATTAGCCAATCACTTACTCTGACAATGATGAGAGAAGGGAAAGGAGGACAGGGCAACCTCTTCCTGTCAGACCTTCCTTCCTCATCAGTAACATAAAGGTAGAGAGTGTTGGTAGAATATGCACACATGGAGAAGGAAGTACAAATAGGTGAGTTAGTTTTGTGCAGTGTTTCCATTGTTCTGGTAAGAACAAAATATGAATTGTGCAACTGTGGTGATTCCATATATGAGGTAAATGTTCTTATACTTGCATTTTAAACTGGCATTGCATAATGTAAAGAAAAATGATAAAATTCACACTAATAATTTATAATTTTAGTTTTTCTTTACTTAGAATGACATTAAATCACAAATAAAAAAATTTGTGAGAGAGAGAGAGACTGCAGAAGAATGGAAACAGCTTCATATTTTAGCACCTTTAAAGATGATTTTTCCTGCTTTTTGAACAAGGGGCCTAGCATTTTCATTTTGCACTGGGCCCTGCAAATTATACAGCTGACCCTGGTTCCAGGTGTCGAAGGTACTAATCTTTTCAGCCCCTGTTGGGTGGCTTACAGGGGTTTGGGTGGGACCCCTACACACCCTCCCTCACCTGTTATCCTCGACATCAGGCAGCCTTGAGTGTTTACTCCAGGACACGGTACGAAGATTGGAACTCTGAACACACACCTTGAGGTGAAAGGGCCTGGGAGGCCCAGCTTCCTCGGGTACCACTCAGAAAACCATCTCTGCTGGAAGCTGGCTCTTGGGTGGGTAATACGTACCCTGATGGACTTGAACATGCATATAATCCCCCCAAAATACAAGTTCACCACTCGAGAGTACTGTGAGTCCTTGTGCTTGTGATTGTGCCCTCTGCCTGGAGGAAGCCTCCTGAGCCGGGCTTTCTCTCATCTCTCGAATCGCAGCCTAAATGCTCTCGTCAGATGGCCTTCCCCTGATCTGACCCTTCTTCACGCCAATTCTCTGTATAGTTTCTTTGTGGACCTTCTCACAGTTAGCGCATATATTGATTAGTTTATCTGTCTCCTTCCTCTTTGAACCTCATTGGCCTTGATCCCCGCTGCATCACTCGCTCCTGGCACAGGGCTTGGCAGATAGTGAGTGCAAGTAAATATTTGTTTGGTAAATGAATAAATGTAATCAGATACCCATAACTGAGATTTGTTCGGTTATTCAGTGTTTTTCAAAATTCAAATCTAAGACAGTTCAATGAAGCAGTGAATTCCGGACATCAGCTGCAATATAAACCGGCTTAGGCTTTTGCCAAAGCATGTGAGGACCAGGATGTTTTAATAAAACGTTAAGGGAGCAGTTAATTATTAATAGCCTAGGCAGGCAATATAATTTTAAAAATTAAGCTTTTTTTTTTAAAAAAACAAAAATATAAAGAACTCCCTTTCTTCTTACTGTTTCCATTTCCCCCACTTCTCTTATTATATCTCATTTCTGGCCTCAATATTAGCATTTTTCCAGACAGAAATCAAAGTACAGAGTAGTTAAGTGATTGCAAAGTTTTTCTCATTGATTGCATCTCTATAAAGATATGTCTAATAATTTATTTCTTGTTTTAAATGCCCTATTTGAACACTAGCAGTTAAATCTTCTCAAGGTAGAAGACTAAACAAAATTATTTAAAAATTTTATAATGAGCAACATAATAGGTTTTGTCATTTTCTCCTTCCTAGTGTCTGTACTGAACTGTCCTGGTAGATGTCAATGTGGCGATTCTATAAGTTATTTTAGAGGACAGCATTTACTCACGCCCATTAGCATCAGTAGTCTTGGCTGGCATCCACATTAGTCCTCATGTAATTACTTAAAAAGTTTTCAAAGTGATAGTGAATACTATCCTCTGAACTTTTTAAAAAACATGGTTTTCCCTAAACCCAGTTACTTAAATGGTGGTATATTAACTCTTTTTTAAGAAAGCAGTATTCAACAAAATAACAAAGGATGTATTTCATAATGAGAAGTTCAATAAGCGGAGAAGGTGATGTGATAAAAATCACAATGGACTTATAAAAAATGGCATTTTCTTGTTTGCAAATGATTTTTTGTTGTCTTGGTCCAGCATACTCGACTGATGAGTGTCTAGCTGGTCCTAGTTGACATGCAAACCGACAAGCCAACTGCTGAATAGATCTTTCTCATTTCTGCCGAGAAGCTCTTTCTAACAGCGTGTGAAATAAAAACTCCTGTGCTGAAGCTCGAATCAACACCGGCCATGAGATGAAGCCTAGAGTTCTGTGGAAATCACGGTGAAGAACGCCATCTCCAAAATGCTCACCACCGGCCTGGACAAAGACCAGTGAGTATGCAGAGGGGAATACTACTACCCTGGCCCCCGGGGGAGGGACCAGATGGGACCTGATAGCTCTTTTCTACTTCTAATTTCTATGATAATTCCAAGTTGCCACATGGCATATGTATTTTTTTTTAATCTAAAGGCAGAATATCGGTCAATGAAGTGACCAAGATATTAATGAAAGGTATTTTTCATGGACTGTATCTATTCACATGTGATATCTCTCACCCACCCCACCCCCACCCTCCAGCAATACATCGCCACTTACTATTAGGTTGGGAGAAGTATATATAGAAAGGTTACACACAATACGTCCAGAATCATTATCATACTAGTTAGAAACCAAGAGATTCTAAGTTTTACTAAGAGGTCAGATGCCTTTTGCAGGAATTGTGGTAAAGACACTCACCTTAATGTCTTTTCCTTATAATAAGAGATAATGCTCAGGTTTAAAGATTTCAGCATGCCAATTAATGTTTGAGAACAAAATTTAAAAAGTAAAATTTCCTGTTTTTAGAGATAAGATCAGGAATTAGAAAAGGGAAGATTAATGGTTGGGTAAGTCACAATAGAATTTATAGGCATTTTTTCTGATGAGTTCAAATACAACTTCATTTGGGACACTGTTTCCTTATCTCCCAACGAGATGCAATGTTCTAGTTGACATGCAAACTGACCAGCCAGAACATGATCTGTACTTCTCCATGGCACTTGCCATACTCTTTGATTTATTAGAGTTAGTTCATTTGCTGTCGGTTTCTGGTAAGCGCTCTGAATAACGCTGTTAGCATTTTGCTTAGCATCCCACTTTATACACAATGGACTGCAGCACACAGGCTGGAGAAGGAGGAGGACTGCACTTGGGGAAGAACACCTAAGGAAGCACGAGCATCTCACGATAGTCACAGCTTCTCAGACACCAACCTATTTGATTAAATTATGAAAATATCCTCATCCTAAGTTCAATGTCATACAAAATCATAACATTTAATATGAAACAATGATTGGTATGAACATCCCACTACATTATTTTCAACATTTTTTCATCCCTCTTCAACGTGGTTTTTAATACTTACTGTTCATGAAAAACTGTCAGTTATCTGGGTTCAGGGGTGGCTAGTTTAAGTCCCAGGGTTAAAGCAAAAAGATACAAGCTCTGGTAGAGCGGGATGAGGCCCTTCACGGCCCTGCTGGCATTGATGCACGTGGCGCAGATAAGGCTTGGCAGCAGCTTCCCGCTCACGATGGCTCCATCAAACAGAGGTCCAAAAAATGGGACCTGTTGATCCAAAACGGAAAAACACTTAATTTCCAAAAGCCAGTAAACCTCAAACCACAGATATGAGAGCAGCTGACTGAATTATAAGAACCATGATGACCATGGAGGGCTGTCACCGACAGGGCAGAGGCTGAACTTAAGAGGACCCAGGCCAAGAGCTTTCAAATCAAACAAAACAGGGTTGTTCCGCTCTGCTCCTCTACACTGTACTCTTCAGCAAAACTTTTAATGACAAATTATCACCAGGTTACTCCTTTTTCCTTGTGTTGTCATTTGTAGAAATGGCATTATTCTTCCTAAGTGCCACATCATGTGGACCAATAAATATAGTGCTTCTCTGCACACCTTTTAGCCTTGTTTCCTCCTCCATTGGAATTGGCAATGTTCCTGTCTTGATCCTGATACATATTAACTTTTAAATGAGATGACGACTGTGCCTGTCAACAGTTGCAAGGTCCTACTTATCCTCCTCATTCTTCTTGAACATTCCTTCCCTTTCCTTCCAGAATTTTGCATTATCCTCATTTCCTTCTACTACTTTAACAGATACTCTGTTTTCCTTCAGTGGACTCACTTCTACCATGTGGATGATTGTTATGGATTAAACTGTGTACCCCTAAAATGTGTGCTGGAAGCCTAACCTCTATACCTGTGGATATAATCTAGTGTAATGTAATATAATTACCTTACATCTAATGCAATATAATGTAATCATCTTCCATAATGCAATCTAATGTAATGTAATCAATCCATCAGTTGAGGTCATACCAGTGTAGGATGGGTCTTAATTTTAATCACTTCTGAGTTATATAAAGAGCAGTCTAGACACAGAGACTGTGCTAAAAAGCAAAGATGTCACTTTGAGGACTAAGGTGCACCTGACCCAGGCCATGATATTTTCAATTGCCTCATATGAATGTGAAAGCTGGACAATAAATAAGGAAGACTGAAGAAGAATTGATGCTTTTGAATTATGGTGTTGGTGAAGAATATTGAATATATCATGGACTGCCGGAAGAACCAACAAATCTGTCTTGGAAGAAGTACAGCCAGAATGCTCCTTAGAAGTGGAGATGGCAAGACTTTGTCTCACATACTTTGGACATGCTATCAGCAGGGGCCAGTCCCTGGAGAAGGACATCATGTTAAGTAAAGCAGAGTCAGTGAAAAAGAGGAAGATTCTCAACCAGATGGATTGACACAGTAGCTGCAACAATGGGCTCAAACATAGCAATGACTGGGAGAATGGTGTAGGACTGGGCAGTGTATCATTCTGTTGTACCTAGGGTCACTAGGAGTCAGAACCGACTTGATGGCACCCAATGACAACAACAAGGACACAGAGACAGACACACACAGAAGCCATCATAATCTGATGATGGAGGAAGATGAATTTACAAGCCCAGGAACTCCAAGGATTGCTGTTACTAGAAGCTGAAATAGATAAAGATGCAACTCCCCATAGAGTCACACTCTGAATTCATACTTATAGCCTCCAGAACTGTGAGAAAACAACTTTTTGTTCTTTAAAGCCACTCATTTGTGATATTTCTGTTACAGCAGTACTAGGTAACTAAGACAAAGTTTTGGTGTCTGTCTGTTGGATTTCCTTCTTCTCTCTTTCATTTTTCCTACTACAATTTCATTAACTCTCTTCTCTAGTATGGAAATCATATACTTCCTGAGGTCAAGGACTGGATCTGCCTTGTGACTCTTGTATTTATTCGCTCTCTCACTCACTTATTCATTTATTCAATGAATATTTATTCAGCGCCTACCATGTGGAGTCCCTAGGTGGTGTAAACAGTTAACATGCTCAGCTGCTAACTGAAATATTAGAGGTTTGAATTCACCCAGAGGCTCCTCAGAAGAAGGGCCTGGATATCTACTTCTGGAAAATCAGTCATTGATAATCCTATGGAGCACAGCTCTACTCTGACACACATGGGGTCACCATGAGTTGGAATCGACTCTACAGCAACTGGTTTGGTTTGGTTTACCATGTAACAGACACTATTCTATTCACTGGAGACGCAACAGTGAATAGTACAAAAATCCCTGCTTTCACTGAACTTAGAACTTATTGGGAAATTTCAGAGACTAAACAGTATAAATAAGTAAAATATATGATATGTTAGATAGTAAAAGTGCTAAGGTGAGAACTAAAACAAGGAAGAGCAATAAGAAATGTTAGGGGAGGGGGTTTCTAATTTCAGATCAGGAAAGGGTTTGTGGAGAACAGGATATTTCAGTAAAGAACTGAAGGAAGTGAGGGAATGAACCACAAGCCATGAGGACATCTAAGAGAAGAACATCCCAAGCAAAGGGAACAGATTCTGAGGTAGGAGTGGAATTGGAGTGTTTAAGCAACAGCGAGGAAGCTACAATGGCTGGAGCTGAGTGAGCAAGAGGAACAACAGGAGGAAATAAAGTTGGACAAGTAATAGGAGGGACCTTGTAGGAAATTGTAAGGATTTTTAATTTCTACTCCAAGTGAGATGAAAGCCTTTTGGAGGGTTTAGAGGAGTGGGGGCTATGATCCAACCTACATTTTAAAGGTATCATCTGTCCACTGTGTTGGGAAAACTGCAAGGAGACTGATGGAGACAAATTAGGGAACTGCTGCTGAATAATCCAGGCAAGAGATGATGTGGCTTGGACGAGAATGGTAGCAGGAGAATGGTGAGAGGCAGCTGGTTTCTGAGTATATTCTGAAGGTAGAGTTGACAGGATTTGCTGACGATTGTTTATGTGGTGGGTGAGAAACAGAAACATCAAGAATGATGCAGAAGTTTCTGGCCTGGCAGCTGGAAGGCTGGAGCCATCTTTCCCTGATACGGAGACAATGGAGAGGGTGGGTCATTAGCTGAAGTTTAGATGTGCCAAGTTTGAGATGTCTGTTAGATATCCAGTGGTGATGTATCAAGGAGGCAATGGATATACCAGCCTAGAAGTCGGGGGAGGGGCCCATGTTAGAGATACAAATATAAGAGTTGTTAATTTATAGATGGTGTTTCCAGCCATGAGACTGAATGATCACCAAAAGAGCAAAAAAAAAGAGGTTCGAGGACTACACCCTGCAGCACTCCAATGTTTAGAGGTTAGAGACATGAGGAAGAATCAGCAAAGAAGACTGAGAAAGAGTGGCTAGAGACGAGAAAAAAACCTCCAATGAGTAGCATGAACCCAGCACAGGTAAGAATGCAAATATTTGTTGAATGTTTGAAATGAATTTTTTACATAATTTAATTAATAAATGTGGGTCTCCAGTCTAGGTCTTCTGACTTCTTTCAACAATTATTTATCTATAGAATGCTTCCACTGTGGTTGGCATTGGGTGAGGGGCTTGGGATACAGCAGTGAATAAAAGACTGTCTTTGCCTATAAGGAGTCCTGACGGCATAGTGACCAAAAGTTCGGCAGTTCGAGTCCACTAGCTGCTCCTTGGAAACCCCATGGGGCAGTTTGACTCTGTCCTACAGGGTCTCTATGAGTCAGAATCAACTCAACAGCAACGGGTTTGCTTGGTTTTGGGTTGCCTATAAGGACCTGACGTGAAATATAGTCAAGTAAATGGGCCATTACAATGCACTGTGATAAGTACAATTGTAATAAGGGTAAGGCTGGGTGCTATGAGAGAGCATAGATGGGTCTCAGAGAATGAGCAAAGACTTCCCAGAGGGAATGACTGTGAAGCTGAAATAGAAGGATAATTAGGAGTTAGCAAGGTAATAGGTGGGGGAGGTAGCGTGTATAAGGTCCTGGCGGTGAGAAGGCTGGAGTGAGGGTATAAGGGGGTGGGGGGAAGTAAGTGGTAGGTGCTGGGGCTGAAGAATGGGCAGGGGACAACATATCTTAAATCACCTCTGAGTTACGTTAAGGAATTTGTACTTTAAACTTAAGGAAGCGAGGAACCACAAGAAGTAGATGACATGTAGACGTTTGCTCTAGAAAAACACCTCGACTACAATATGGAGGGGTCCAAGACTGGAGCTACTGTGATCAGTCAGCAAGGTGTTCCAGTAATTCAGAAAAGATCAATGTAGAGGGAAGTGGGAGTAGAGGTGAAGAAAAGTGAATGAATTCAAGGGAGTTCTAAAATATAGAATCATCAGGGATTGGTGTTGAATGGATAAAAGAATGGGACAAATGGGCAGCTCACAGTGACATCACTGAGAAGGCCAACAGAGGAGAAACAGCTGCAGGTGAGGGGGTATGGTAAAAGATGATCCATTTAGTTTTAGACTTGTGAATTGGGTGTATCTATAGGACATCCAAGGGCAAATGTTCAAGATGAAACTGAATAAACAGGTCTGGAGGTCAAAAGACAGCCCTCCCAAAAGCATCAAAGAACAACCCTGCTAATTGGCTTTCTATCAGAATTTAATAGGAGGATCCATGAATTGTATAGAGGTGAGAGAGGATCACAAGGATGACTGTAGATGCTTTGCAGCTTCAAATAGCAAACTTCCTGGTGTGAAAAAGGTAGGGATCATGTTGGCTTCTTCCCACTTTCTGTTCCCCAGGCTCAGTGATCCAGGATCTCTGCCAAGTGGAAACCTGGGTGTCAGTCCCATTATGAGCAAGTACTCCTCTCTGACACGTTCACAGTACTTTTGTATACTATTTTTCCTTTGATTCTCCTCTCCTTCATTTTACATTGAGAAGTTATAATTCCCAAAGTGTAACAGGGCATAAAGGAATGCTGGCTGTGGTGCACTATTTCCAACGAGGTGCAAACTCTAGACTGGGCACAAAACACAGTGAACTCTGGGAACAGAAGATGTTAGAGGTTGTAGCTTTGGGAATCCTTGTTTGGCAAAGACATCAAAGAACTATACAGTGGAATTAAAAAAAAAAAAAAGATGCCACCTCAACCCAGAGAAACTTCTGAAGACGAAAGCCTGCCACACACAAGAAATGATTACCTAGTTATCCATCTAAGAAAAAGTACTGTTGGAACCTTAAATGGACAGTCAGTACAGGAAAAGTAGGCAACT